TTTCACTGTCAGTTAAGCCAAAAAATTTCCTTCTTTCTTTAGCTACTTGGGAGTTGAGTTTTTTCACAGGTAACCAAGAGTTGTAACTAATATCCTGAATGTCAAGCTTTTAATAGTGTGTGAGTAAATGATTAGGAGTGTGGAAAGCTTGTTCAACCAAACTGGGATCAAGGGTCATTTTCAAGGGATCTTTCTGATAGCTCATCTTATCCTAATAATTTATGGCTTCTTAATGTTTAATGAAATACAGAGACATCATTTGTAGTGATTCTTTTTTTTTTTTAATTTTTTTTTTCAATGTTTATTTATTTTTGGGACAGAGAGAGACAGAGCATGAACGGGGGAGGGGCAGAGAGAGAGGGAGACACAGAATCGGAAACAGGCTCCAGGCTCTGAGCCATCAGCCCAGAGCCTGACGCGGGGCTCGAACTCACGGATCGCGAGATCGTGACCTGGCTGAAGTCGGACGCTTAACCGACTGCGCCACCCAGGCGCACCGTTTGTAGTGATTCTAATAGATGTTCCTCTTACTAAGAATTTTTAATATGTTCTCATATATCTGTCAGTATTTGTTGACGTCCAAAGCACTGGTTCCAAGGAAGCCTGAATGTTAACTGCTAACGCTGAGTTATAATATTAATAATAGCACAGAGGCCTGACCTTAATTATAGAAAGTTCTTATAAGTCAGGTAACCTCTCTTGTCCATTAGCTTATAGCTGACTCATTAAAATATTTCTTGTAAGTATACAGTTTTCCAAATATTGGAACCAGTTACAAACCTCTTTAACAAACTGTAAGCAGAAAAAGGAAAGATTACATATTGCTACTTGAGATGTGATGTAGAAAACCTAGGTAATCTAAGATTTCTATTTATTTGTCATGGTATGCCTTTGAAATATTAAAGGATGAGTCAACTTTGTTAGAAATATCGAAATGTCCAGAAAATTCAGGAAGAATTTACAGGTCAAGGCTGTAAGCAATTTTATCCTACCTCTCATGACAATATCCTTCACTAACTTCTTCCTCTGAGATGGATGGTTGTGGCCAAGTGTTGGGAGCAAGAATGACATGAGACATTATTGTAATCTTGGAATTTATCAAAACTTTGTTAAAGGGGGCCTTTCTCCTCCAGTGAGAACTACATAGCACCTTAACCTAATGTAAATTTCCACAATGGATGCCATTTGCCAATAAAGTCTCTGAAGATTCTGCAATTCAATGATCCCTGTCATGTTTAAAATATCTCTAGGGTCCCCAGAAGACCACAATTAGTGAGGACGTAGATTTTTGGAATCAAGGAGGCAGAGTGTGCAACAAAATGTATAGAGCCATTATAAAATCTCAGTAATTCCAATTAAATGGGAGAAGGGTATTATGAATTCATGACACTCCATTATTTTTACCATAGTGGAAGCTTTATGGCTGTCACTAAAGGAAAAGGGAAAAGTACTCTAGGATAAATTTGAATGAACAGATTTGATTTATTTCTAATTAACAGATTGTTTTAAATACTTTCAGCTTCTGAGCTACCTGAAAGTGGTATGCATCTTAGACAGCTTACTAGTACAAGCCAGCTGGAGCTTACTTTGCACTAATAATGGTCCTGCTCTTAGAACCATTATTCACAGAAATAGAAAATTAAAGGTCCACTGGTTTCTGGGACTTCATAAATCCTGAATTGGTGGGATCTGAATTCCACTAATTGTACTTAAGAAAATAATAGGCTTTGGTTGCAGACTTGTACTCTGATCTTATTCTGAGTGAGATCTTATGTGAGAAGGGGTTTTATTTCTACAGGCTTGGGGTAGATGACACTGCCTCAGAATATGGGTGACACTGTGGTTCTCAATCGACTGACCTACCACTTGCTAGAATGTTCGCATTTTGGGACCTCCATCTTCACTCTGCTGGCTCAGTAGTACATTTGATTTGGTTTTACAGAGATGAATTTCAAGGAAAACATCACCTAGACTTTACTTCAAATTACCCTGAGGTTCAATACATTCTACTGATGCCCCAAAATGCCATGCTCATAGTCTGCTGTTATGATACATGACTTGGAGAAGGTAAATGTCCTGTCAACTACAATCCCTCTCTATTATTTTTAAGGAGGGCTAGTTTCCATTATCAAAAGCAGATAAGGAATACCAGCACTCATTTGTCATTCAAAATGGAATGCTTACTTAGCTGGGAATGAATGAAAACCATCATGTGGTAGGTTTGTTTTTTTAATGCTGGCAATAAAGGCACAACTCAAGGTCAGGGAAAATTCAAACGTGGCTCTACTGGGTTGCTTATATTTTTTGGATAGGTGGGAGAGACAATTTTCCAATAGGAACCTGGGTTTTGAATACATTTTCCCCCCTAAAACAGAGATAAGGAAAAGAAACCTGACATTTTTTTCTCATCTTCTGACATGGTAATTAGTTATTATATTACCAACACACAGATTTTAGTTCCAGTTTTGTTTTTTTTTTTTTTTATTTTTTTTCCCAACGTTTATTTATTTTTGGGACAGAGAGAGACAGAGCATGAATGGGGGAGGGGCACAGAGAGAGGGAGACACAGAATCGGAAACAGGCTCCAGGCTCTGAGCCATCAGCCCAGAGCCTGACGCGGGGCTCGAACTCACGGACTGTGAGATCGTGACCTGGCCGAAGTGGGACGCTTAACTGACTGCGCCACCCAGGCGCCCCTAGTTCCATTTTAAATTAGTTGTTCCTTACCCACACTTTTACGCAGTTAATCCCACCTCACATGAAGGTCCGTGGCATGTGACAAACAGGCCATTTCATGAGTGAGTGAGTGTGCACAGACACCAAAAGGACCACCGGGCTTTTTTCTTCTCATGGGTTCTGGGTAAGAAATGCTAAAAGGACCAACTTGCCATTTAGGATTTCAAGCCGACACACGGTGAGATTTTTCTGCATGGCCATCTCCCAGGTACCTCTGAGTCAAAATAGGACCCAAATTAAACTCATCTCCCTCCTATGAAAACTGGTCACCCTTTTGCCTTTTCCATCTCTCCGAAGACCACCATCCATTAAGTAGGATGAACCATAACAAGGTCATCAATAGCTGAATATAGGCAATTTCAAACGGATCAGCCTTAATATCTGTTCAGGTCAGAAACCTGGGTGAAATACTTATCACTGCACTCTCCCAATTCAACTCTTACCACTAGCCAATCACGAGGACTGGTAAATACTACTTCTTGGGGAGGTTCTGAATCCGTCTTCAGGGCACCCACCATAGCCTACCTCATCAGCAACTGGTCTAGCGATTCCACCATCCACACTGCAATGAACTAGTGTGTCCTCTTTAAAAAAAAAATTTTTTTTAACGTTTATTTATTTTTTGGGGACAGAGAGAGACAGAGCATGAACGGGGGAGGGGCAGAGAGAGAGGGAGACACAGAATCAGAAACCGGCTCCAGGCTCTGAGCCATCAGCCCAGAGCCCGACGCGGGGCTCGAACTCACAGACCGGGAGATCGTGACCTGGCTGAAGTCGGACGCTTAACCGACTGCGCCACCCAGGCGCCCCTAGTGTGTCCTCTTTAAAACACAAGTCAGATCATGCCACTTCCAAGCTAGAGATCAGTCAATGGCTTTTCAGTGTCCTTAACACAAAGACCAGACAATACAACTGCTACTGGCCTCTTCATTCACTCTATGTTCTGGTTACTCTACCTTCTTTTATTATCCCAAACATGCTCCTTCCCAATTCAGGGCCTTTGAACATATTACTGTATCTGCTTAATACCCTCTTCTCTCTCATTGCCAACCAGGCCCTTGCCACCCAGTGATCCCCACTTCTCCGGTGTTCATGCCTCAGCATAAATGCAACGTCCCAAAAGAATCTTCTATGACCTTTCTCCGACCAGTGTGGAACCCCAGGTTACATAGATCCATGGGACTTCAGCATAGATCATACTTTCAATTACCTGTCCAGTGCCCTGCTAGGCTCAAACTCCAAGGGAGCAAGGCTATCGCTAACTTGCTCATTACCATATTGCCATCACTAACCCAAGGCCTAGTACTTAATGGGCACCAAGTAAATGTTTGCCAAAAGCACAAATCTGTCACAAATGTCAAGAGTGCAATTCATAAGTCAAAGCTGCCATCTTTGCTCCATGATAGACATCAGTGTTGATCTATCTTCGGTGAGGGGCACCTGGGTGGCTCAGATGATTAACCATCTGACTTCAGTTCAGGTCATGATCTCATAGTTCATGAGTTTGAGCCCCACCTTGGGTTCTGTGCTGACAGCTCTGAGCCTGCTTTGAATTCTGTGTCTCCCTCTCTCTGTTCCTAACCTACTTGCGCTCTGTCTCTTTCTCAAAAATAAACATTAAAAAAATTTTTGATATATCTTCAGTGATTTTTCTATTTAGGATTTTTAAAAAGGTAACAAAAGCATTCAATTAAAAAATTAAAAACTGAAAGCCTGATCCAGAACTCTGGGCCTTTTTTGAACTATTCCCTAGCATGGCTACATCTGGCAATAGTTATTGTTATAAGAGAAATAATAATAATCACAAAGACTCATAATACAAGACATGCTTTGGATGCTCTCAGTCCCTCAATCTTGTGGAAAGACAAGTTTTTTTTAAGTTTATTTATTTATTTTGAGGGAGAGAGAGAGAAAGAGAGACAGAAAGAGACAGACAGTGAGGAGACAGAGAATCCCTAGCAGGTTCTGCACAGTTAGCACAGAGCCCAATGTGGAGCTTGAACTCACGAACCGTCACAACATGACCTGAACGGAATCAAGAGTCGGACACTCAACCAACTGAGCCACCCAGGTGCCCCTGGAAAGACAACTTCTTGCACACAAGAACCCTTTCTCTATATCTTTAAGAGTAAGAAAATCAACTACAGAATCCAAGAGAAACACATTTTCAGCTTTAAGTAAAATGTTTAACACCAGTTAATTTCACCATGTTTGCAAGAGCAATTGTCTCCTGAGAACACCTTATTAAAGGCTCGTGTTCCTACCGGAAGAAAGAGTCTCTGAGCAGCACACGGTTTGAATAATTTCTTCCATTCCTGAGGGTTTCCAACCGAAAATGTGATGGGGTAGATTCGGTGCTCGAACTTCTTTGTATATGAGTCAGGCCACTGTCGTAACTAAAAAACAAGGAATACAAGAAGAGGATGATTAGGCCCCAGAGAAACAGAAAACATCTGAAGCTTCTGCATGTTCAAGTGGACACTATTCAGGCAACTTACACAGAAAATCTAACTTCACCACCACTATTAGTGCTCAGTGAATGAAAGACCATGGCTAGAACTAAAAAAAATAATAATGATAACATCCAGAGTTGGCAAGGGTGTTAGGAGGCTGGTACATAAATAACACAAGGGGAGTATAAATCTGAGTAAACTTCCAAGAGGGCACTTTGGAAACTGGCAGTAACCAACTTCAAAAGATAAAGGCACAAGACTTTCAACACAACCTACTTTGTAATAAAAAAAAAAAAAAAATCCTTGTGAACAAACTAAATGACCAATAAGTATGAACTGGGAAAATTAATTATGATAGAACTATACAATAGACTACTGTTAACAGTTAAAATTAGGTAGATCTATATTTTCTGGCATGGAAAAATGTTTATGATAGTTAGGTTTTAGAAAAAGCAAAATAAAAAAGAAATTTCATAATATAAGTTCTGTCTTGGAAAACATATGCATATATATTTTATATGGAGAGAAAAATCTCTACAGATGGACACTGAATTGTTACAAGTGGGCACCTGTGGAGGTGGTGGTGGTGATTTCATTTTTTAAGTTTATACTTCTGTGTTCTTTAGAACTTTTACAATGAGTATATATTATTTTCTTTGCATATGTTATTTCATTAATGGGCTTTAGTTTTCAGAGCAGTTTTATGTTTATAGAAAAACTAAGCAGGAAGCATAGAGTTCCCATCTACCCTTCCCCCTTTCCCTCTCTACCCCCCAGTTTCCATTTCTATTATCTACATCTTGCATTAGTGTGGCATATTGTTGCAATTGATGAACTCGTATCAATATGTTAGCAAGTAAAGTCCATAGCTTATCTTAGGGTTCACTCTTTGTGTTGTACATTCTATGGATTTTGACAAATGTATAATGGCAGGTATGTACCATTACAGAATAGTTTCAGCACCCTAAAAATCCCTTCACCATTCCCTCCCACTGAATTCCTACAACCACTGATTATTTTTTTTTAATGTTTATTTATTTTGTGAGACAGAGAGAGAGTGAGAGAGAGAGAGGAGCAGGGGAAGGGCAGAGAGAGGGAAAGAGAGAGAATTCCAAGCAGGCTCCGAGCTGTCAGCATGGAGCCCCAATGTGGGCCTCTAACTCACAAACCGTAAGATAGTGACCGGAGTCAGAATTGAGAGTCAGCTGCTCAACCGACTGAGCCACCCAGGCACCCCTACAACCACTGATTATTTTACTGTCTCTTAGCTCTTTGCCTTTTCCAGAATGGGATATAGTTGGAATCATACAGTATATAGCCTGTTCAGATTGGCTTCTTATACAGAGCAGTATGCATTTAAGTTTTCCCTATGTCTTTTTGTAGACTGATAGCTTATTTATTTTTTATTTTATTTTTTTTAATTTTTTAAACATTTATTTATTATTGAGAGACGAGAGACAGAGCATGAGCATGGGAGGGGCAGAGAGAGGAGGAGACACAGAATCCGAGGCAGGCTCCAGGCTCTAAGCTGTCAGCACAGAGCCCGACGCAGGGCTCGAACTCACAAACTGTGAGATCATGACCTGAGCTGAAGTCGGACGCTTAACCGACTGAAAAATCCAGGTGCCCCAATAGCTTATTTATTTTTTAGAGCAGAATAACGTTCCATTTTATGGATATACAATGGTTTGTTTCTACATTTACCCATAGAAAGACATCTTGCTTGCTTCCAATTTGGGGTGATTACAAATAAAGCTGCTGTAAACATTCATGTGCAGGTTTCTGTGTGGACAATTTTTCAATTAATCTAGGGAAAATGTCAAAGAGTCTGACTGCTGGATTGTATGGTCAGTCTCCATGTAGCTTTCTAAGAAATGGTCAAACTGCTTTCCAAAGTTGCTGTGCTGTCTTGTGTTCCCACCAGCAATGAGATTTTCTGTTGCTGTACCTCCTCGATAGCATTTAGTGTTGTGGATTTTAGCCATTCTGATAGGTGTGTAGGTATCTCGCTGTCTTCAGCTGCAGTTCCCCAAGGACATTTGATGTTGAGCATCCTTCCGTATGCTTATCTGCTTCCCCACTGACACCATAGTTCTACTTCTAAGAATTTTCTAAGGAAAAATTCCAAAAGTACATTCATATTTATTACAAGGTTGTTTATCATAATGTTGTCTGTGACAGTGAAAAGTTGGAAACAACCTAAATAACAATTTGGTTAAATAAGCTCTGGGGTTTGTCTACAGACAGAATATGATGCAGCAACTAATGACAACAATGTACAATGAGCGTTGGCAAGCTGTTGGTTGTACAAGGATCAAATCCAACCTGCTACCACAAGCACATAGCCAAGAATGATTTGATATTTTCAAATAGTTAAAAAAATAAAAACAAATGTAAAATTCTGCAACCTGTGAAAACGACATGAGATTTGAATTTCGGTGTCCATAAATAAAAGTTTTATTGGAACACTGCCACACCTAATTATTTACATATTTCTATGGCTGCTTTTACAATGAATATCAGAGCTGAGTAGCTACGAGACCACACAGCATGCAAAGCCTAAAAAAGTTGCCGTCTGGTACTTTACATAAGAAAGTAGCTAACCCCAGTTTCAGAAGAAGAAATTCAATAATATAAGACTCAGTGATATAAAAGGGAATGTAGGATACAATCTCATTTCTGATGTTTATATGAAAAGAAAACGAATATAAATAAATACATAAAAATTGCTCTCCCTGACCATTAATAGGAAGGTTGATTTTTTTCCTTTATAATTTTATGATTTTTTAATAATGTACATATAATGCTTATATGGTCACATAAAAATGTTTGAAGAGGGGCACCTGGATGGCTCAGTTGATTAGGTATCTGACTTCTGATTTCAGCTCAGGTCATGATCTCATGGTTCGTGAGTTCAAGCCCCATGTTGGGCTCCCTAGAACCTGCTTGTGATTCTCTCTCTCTGCCCCTCCTCAGCTCACACACACTGTGCACACACTCTCTCAAAATAAATAAACTTAAAAACGAATAACTTTGCAATTTTGAGATGGATATATGGGAGGGAAATCTCAGAATGAGAAAGAGGAAGAGTGATAAAGGATTTAATAACTGATTTATGAAGGCCACTGACCAATGAGAAGCCACAACCAGGCACAAATACCCAGCACAACTGCACTGACACATCAGAACGGACACCGGGCACAAACACTCAGCACAACTGTGCGACGGCACAACAGCCCAAAATCAGCCCTGGAAGGGGAATGGGAAGGTCCCATGGTCTGTTGCTTTCCTTGATTCCTTGATCTTTAGGATCCTCCCTTCTAGAAGGGTTTATCTACCTTTGCCAATCTATGTCTTTTAACTGGACTGTTCAGTCCTTTTACATTTAAATCAATGCATGTATTTGAACTCCAGCCACTGAAAGTTCCTGCTGACACGTATTCCCGTGGCAGAACCACATACCACACCCACAAAGAAGGCTGCCATCCCACTGGCCCTACCTATCACCAGAATGCAACGGTGGTTATCCCCACTTCCGGGTCCCACTTTTTCCTGACAGATGAGCCAAGCCTAAAGCACACGTCTGATTCGCGAGTTGCCTAGAGAGGCAAGGAAATCAACCAGCTGGCATTTTCAGCTTCTATATTGGGAGATGACAAGACCAAATGAAACTCCAAAATATTAAGTATCTATATTATACTTGGTAAATATCACCAGACATACTGGACTCACACAGCTTAAAAAATTATTTTTTAAAGTCTACTTAAATATAGAATTCACCCATAAAACAGCTTCTAGAGGAGTCATGATATCAACTGGCACTTTGTTTTGTGTTTTGCCCTAAGATATACGGCCCTGAGCTTCACTAGAAGTTATCACAAGAAACTGGATATTCCCACAATGCCTTGGTTTTGTAAGGGACACTTTAGAGGAGGAAGGCGTAACTTGCCCCTGCACACCGGCATCTCCTGTGGCTTCACACAGCCTAACTGCTGCTAATCTACTACTTCGGAGCTAACAAAGTGCCCAACATACTGGAGATACTCCAAAGAATCTTCGTGGAATGAAAGAATAAATAGATGATCTGAGTCAGCCTCACAAGTATGCTCTACAGTAAGATTCATTTGCCCTTTGATACAGGTGAAGAAATTGTGAGTGAGAGAAGTTCTGTAACTTACATAGGAGACAAGGATTTTTTTTAATCTAAACTGGCACCATAATCCTTGCATGGAAGAGAAAGGGATGAGGCCATATGCCCCGCCTGTCTTTTAGCACCCTAGTACAATTTCCTTTGTTAGTTGAGCTTCACTGGTCTGACAAAGACCTGAGGAAATGAGCCATCAAAGGAATAAAGTCATCAGAGCAATTCAAATGATTTTTCAAATTCAATGATTTTCCCATGCAAGTCAGTTCCTAATTGATAATGTGCCCATTACTATGGCTCATGGCAAATTACCCCCCAACTTAGCAGTGTAAAACAACCATTTATTATGTTCACAGATTCCACGGCTCAGGTGTTCGGACAAGGCACAGAAGGATGGCTTACACTGCTGTATGATGTCTGTGGCCTCGGCTAGGAACTTTAAAGGCTGGAGGCTAGAATCTGAAATCTGGTCCACTCACATGCCTGGCAGTGGAGGCTAGCTACGTGCTGGGGACCTCAGCTCCTCTCTGAGCAGGTCTCTCCACACGAGCCCTCTGTATGGACTAGTTTGGGCTTCCCCACATGTTGGCCAGGTTCCTGGGGCAGGTAACCCAAGAAAGAGTGAGGCAGAAGCTGTATCCTTTCCATGCCCTAGCCTCAAATGTCACCTGAATATTACATTAGCATACTCTCTTTTATACATACATACATATGTAAGACATAAGTAGATGTGTAGGCATTAGCTATTATCTTATAACAAGTTATCCCCAAAACTTAGTAGCTCAAAACCACAAAAACGTATTCTCTCATGTAGTTTCTTAGAGTCAAAATTCTGTAAGCTGGGCTGTTCTGGCTTGGGTGGCTCATGAGAGTGCAGTCTAAGTTGTGACTGGGGCTACAGTCATCTGAAGGCTTCATGGGGCGGGACCTTCCATTTCCAAGCTCACTCGTGTGTTACAAGCAGCTTTCAATCCTTATCATGTCAACCTCTACAAGGGCTGCTCTGACATGAAAGTGGCTTACCCCACGGCAAGTGACCCAAGGGGAAAGTGAATGTGACCAAGATAGAAAGCGCAGTGCCTTTTAAAACCTAATTTCAGGGGCCCCGAGTGGCTCAGTTGGTTAAGTGTCCGACTTCGGCTCAGGTCATAATCTCACTGTTTGTGGGTTTGAGCCCTGCGTCGGGCTGTGTGCGGACAGCTCAGAGCCTGGAGCCTGCTTTGGACTCTGTGTCTCCCTCGCTCTGTGCCCCACCCCCACTGATGCTCTGTCTCTCTCTGTCTCAAAAATAAACATTAAAAATTTATTAAAAAAATAAATTAAATGAATAAATAAATAAATGAATGAATGAATAAATAAATAAATAAATAAATAAGTAAATAAATAAATCCTAACTTCAGAACTGATGTTGTGTCGCATCCTCCCTATGCTGCTGGTCACAGAGGCCAATCCTGGGTCAGTGAAGGAGGGAAGTACAGGAGGATGTGAGTAACACAAGGTGGGGGTGCTGGGGCTTCTCTGGAAAACACGGTGTGCTCCATATACATAATTGTACATACACGCATCTTCCTTCCCCTCATCTTTTTTAAGTTCAAGTCTAGTTTGTTCTGCTCTGTCTCATGTCCCAGCCTCTAGCACACAGTGGGTACTCAAGAAATACTTGTTAGATGGATATTGTGTAAGACATTGCTAGAGTTTGCCCACAGCTAGTTTATCCTCCCTTCCTGCACACTGAGCACTTCTCAGCCCCTTGCCGCTGGGTGAGCCTCGTGACTGCTTCTGGGCAGTTACATGTGAGCAGAAAAGACTCACATAGCTGTCAAATTGAGGGAGTGAAACGCATAGTCATGAAGCACTTGTCTCTCTCTTTCCTGTATGGCATCCCAAGAACTTTAGATGCCAAATGTTCCAGCAGGTGCAACTCAAAGCATGAATAGTCTTGGAGCACCTGCCTGGCTCAGTCAGAAGAGCGTAAGACTCTTGATCTCAGGGTTGTGAGTTCGAGCCCCACGTTGGGTATAGGGATTACTAAAAATATATATATAAACTTACAAAAAAAAAGAGCATGAACAGTCTTTGTCATCTTCGGTCCCAGACCTGAGTGCCTGTGTGAAACATGTAGCAGGCACAAGGCAAGTCTCTGAGCTTTTCAGGAGGTGTTACAGCAGCCTGACCTAGCCTATCCTGATTCCAGATACCTTAGCTCTTTTGATCAATGCTATTAGCTTCAAGTTACAAACAGGGAAGCTGAAGCTCTAAAAGGCCACCAGGCTTGCTGGAGATCAAGCAGCAGGTGCACAGTGGAGGTGAGGTTTGCATTTGAGTCTTCTGCCTACTAGCTTGAGATGGAGTATGGCACAGTGGTTAGGCTCACGGAGCTTTGAGTCTGTGACCTTGAACTGACACCTGATGAGCAAACCACTAACACTCTCTATGCCTTGATGATCTGTTTGCAAAACAGAAACAGGAGTGCTACCTTCCCGTAAGGGTTAAAGAAGAGTACATCACAAATCAGAAGCCCTTGATAGATGATAATCACCATCACCATCACCATCATCACCATCTCCTGTCCCCACAGCTTCAGAGCAGCTAACCACGTGTGTTCCATCCCCTTCCCCTTCCTTTGACTCAGATCTTTTTCAAGGCAGTTTCCAATCAATTTCAAAGCTTCAAGACTATTTGTTCTTTGGCTTCCCTTGGTGAGGATGTCAAGATGATATTTTTCTTTAGGAAACCTAACATGTTTTCTAGCTTTCTGTTATTAGCCTTTCTCTGCTCAACATGCCTCTCTGGCATTTCTCATTAGTGCGGCCAACCTGGTGACAGGAGGCCGCCCTGCTTTGACCCCAGTCAATAGACACAGAGCAAAACAGGGTCTCACTCTTCCAGTACTCGAGGCCTTACAAGAGAAAACTTCCGAGACAAAGCAAAGTTTGCTCTGCAAAGTCACACATGTACCTAGACTGAGGACAAGAGGTGGTTCCAAAGCTCTCCTTGTGTACTGGTAAAAAATCATTACTTGTTCCTCACTGTAGGAAAAGTCAAATAAACAAGGATCCAGATATACAACAAAATACTGTTCAGCCACCAGAAGAGAAGAGGTAAGAATGTTTGAGTCCTGACCTGGAATGATGCTGACAATATGGTTTTAAGGGGGGAAAAGCAAGTTCCAGAACAACACATGGAGAATAACTTTGATTTTGTAAAAGAAACACACTTGAATCCAGGCACATACAATTGCATGTGTTAAACATGTAGATGTTTAATTTTTTTTCAGTGCCAAAAGGTGACTTTATTAGCACAGGGATAGGACCCATGGGCAGGAATAGCTCCCCAAACATGCAGATGTTTATATATACAAATACACATGTACACACATATACATATACTCACACAGATACATACATACACACACACACATCTGCACATGAAAAAATATGGAAAAATAACTCAAAATCATTAACTCTGATACTATCTTATGTGAGACTGAGGGTAGCAAGGACTCGTACCTTTTAATTCATAACATCTGTATCATTTGAATTTATTTTAATGAACATCTATTACTTGTCATTCAAAAAACATATATAAATAGATTTTTTTAAAAAGCTACCTGTCCCCCAAATAAGAACAATGTTAACGACACCAGAGGCTCAAGCCCTGGGCTTCAAGGGCATCATCACATAGAATCCTTACAGTATCTCTGTAAGGCAAGTGTAATGATCCCCTTACTGTAAGAACAGTAAGGCTGACAGTCAAGAGTTTATGGCCACACAGCTGAGTCCACAGCAGAAATACATTAGCAACCAGGATATGCATTTCCCAAAATGCAGTCTGTCTGCACTCAGGAATATGGTGCTGCCATTTATACACATTCACCTGCTTCTCAAACTCTGGCTTCAGAGAGTCTTCTGTGAAGATGTGGAACTGGATCTTCCTGTGGCTAAAGAGTACAGCTGATTTGAGCATGACCAGTGTCTCCTCCAGCCGATTGCCACAGGCCACCACGGCCAAGTGGATCCAGAGCTCTGGAGGCAGCACAGCCTGGAAACTCCTGAGTTCTCCAGGCCTCCTAGGAAGAGGAAAAACAAGTTAAAGCTATTACTAAACTCATAAAAAACAAAACAAAACAAAACAAAACAAAACAAAACAACCCAGCTAGTGAATAGTTGGAACATTTCAAAACATGAACAGGCACAATCTGTTATATTTTATAAAGTGATAAGCATTTTGACAATTCTTCCTGCTTAGAGAAAAATACCATTTATTCCCATATTTATCCTGGCAATAGCAGCATGAGTCACTGTTTGGCCTGCCTTAGGTGTCTGAGACTTTTTCTGCCCCACTCAGCTGTCGAGTGCCTGCTGCCTGCCGAATGGCCCATGTTTGGAAATAGCATTGCTAAGCTTCAACAGCTGACACAGGGGTTGTGGTGCTCACACTCAGAGAGGCCACGCAAATTAGATTTGAACGCAACATGAACAAGACAAGGGTGGGTCGTGGCTTTCCCATGTGAAACGAGCAACATGATACTTCCATCATCTGGATGGTTTTAGGTTGCGGTGGAATGCATGACCACCACACCAAAGGAAAACCATGCGAGTCCAGGAGGTGAGCAAAGAAAAGAACATATGTGCCTCCATCACATCCTCGGAAAGTCTTGAAGAAACAGGTGTTAATCCTAACTGTCTCGCTCAAGATTCCTGAGGTGGTAGACTTGAAATTCAGCCTCCAGCATGTAAGTCGTATTAATGAGAAACAGGCAGGAAAGGAGGCAGGTTGAGCTGAAAATTACCAAGGTATCAGATACTGAGTCAACAGCTGAGAGGGGAATAGGGTCCAAGAGTCCAGAATCATCATCCAGCTATTTCCTTGTAATAAAAGATTTGTTCCAGACAAGGAGACGCAGCCAAGCCTCAAACACACCACTGAGAGACATTCGCAGGCAAGTTGGAAGGAGCTGGCCTGGAAAAGGTGCCCTGAGACAAATGAAACTAATTTACTTGCACAAAAGAGTTGGAGGCCAGGGAAACTTGGACGAGGAATGCTACCTTCCTTCCAAAAGCTTCGAGTCCAATCAGTGCACTGCTCCATTATCCACTGCTCTGCTGAATAATGGAAGTCCTGCTCCAGATTTCTTTCATCAAGAGGAGAGGTGAAGATGTGGGTGGGGCACTCCAGACAGCTTTCCAATTCAGTTACTTATGAGCATGCTCAGGGGAAGCTCAACGAAGTCCAGATGCCGAGAGACACTCAGATTCCACTGACTTCAGGGATCACAGGAAGACACTAGAGATGTCCTAAGCATCTCCCAATGTTGTCCTCTTCTCTTAGTCCTCCTCCTGCTACGTGATGAGGCCACCATCTTCTCTCACTTCGATTGCTCTGTCAGCTCCCTAGATGGTCCACCTGCCTCCAGTCTTATCCTTAACTCCCACCCTCTGATTTCTTCTTGTTGGCACCAGAGTGAAGTTCTTCTAAAATGCAATTAGTACCGTGTTATTCTTTTGATTAAAATAAGGTAAGGGCTCCTGACTGCCCTCAAGATTGAGTCCAAGGTGACGATCATGGCTCCTATTTACATCTCTAGCAACTGCCTCCAGCACCTCCAGCCTCGGTGGACAGCCCTTCATAACCGTGGCCACAGTCACATATTCATACTTTCCATCCATTTTCACTTCTGGTCAGCAGACTGCTGAGTTGTCTCCAGGTCTTGGCACATGTATTCTCTCTCTCTCTTTCTCTCTGTGTGTGTCTCTCAGAAATTTTCCCCTCTGCTCTTTTTCTTGCTAACTTCAGACCATTTATTAACCAACAAATCTATACTGAGTACCTACCATGTGCCAGGCACTGTTTTAGGTACCAGGAAGACAGCAGTGAACAAAACGGACATAGATGCCTGCCCTTGAAGAAATTACATTGTCAAGGTGGTAGGGGAAAGACAAAGAAGGAAGTAGCACTCAAAGCAAATAGTAACTAAATAGCTTATATAGAAAGTTATCTGGCTATAAGGACTATGAAGGAGGTATACCCTTGAACAGGGAGGGATACAGGAGTGGCCGATGGGCTGGTAGATATTTTTATGCAGTGCAAAGCTGGGAACATACTCACTAAGATGGTGAGATCTGACGACAACTTGAAGGAGGTGAGGATATGAGTCATGGGCATTTCTGGGTGAGGAGCATTCCAGGCAGAGGAGACAGTGAGAGCAAAGGTACAAAATCAGGAGCATGTCTGGTAAATTCAAGGACCCCTGCCATAAGGACTCTGATGTCTTCCCTTCCTGAGCCCTGTGGGTGGGTTTTCATACCTACTATTAAAGCCAGCTCCCAATTAACTTATGTAAAAGGATCAGAAGGCTGTGTCACAGATAATGCTAAAATCACAGTCAGTTACAAATCATGCAAAAGACTGGCCAAAATATGCTACTGATAAGATTCAACACAAACTCGTTTCCTTGAAATTATGCTCCACATTTAGGAGCACAGGTATCATCCAAAGGTTCGAAAACAGTCAATGTAATAGCATAGCTACCTTAAATATGAAATACTGCCCTGTTCCAAATAACTCTGTCCAGTTTAGCTTTACATATTGAGCTTCTGCTTGAACAAAGGCTTTGACATTAGTAATCAGGGAAATACAAATGTAAACAATAAAGCGATTCCATTTTATTTTCAGATTGGCAAAAATTAAGGAATAAAATAAACGTTGGATCATCCAAGCTTTGGAGTGGATATGAGTGTGGGGGACAGCTCAGAAAGAACCAGGGGCAGTATAAGTTGATCCAAACATTTTGGACAACCATTTGGGAATGTCTAGGAGGAATGAAGATGCACATACACCCTCCAGCCCTGTAGTCCTACACCTACATATGTAACCTAAAGAAATCTTTTACATTTACACAAGACCCATTCAACAATGTTCACAGCAGCCCGGTTTGTAATAGTGAAGAACTAAAAATAATGTTGCTGTCCATGCAAAGGAGAACATGAATATATGTAATGTGTTTAAGAGGAATACTACATAGCAGTGAAAATGAACAAACCAGAATGTCACATACCCACATAAGGCCAAAGAGGAAAAAAGCAACTTTCAAAAGAATAATACCTTAGATGAAGCTTGAAAGTAAGCAAAGTAGCACTCTGTGTTGTTCACAGACTCGTGTAGTAAAAGTAAACATACGGGAGGATGATAAACATCAGATGCAGGATGGTGGTTATCTCTGGGGATTTAAATTGTTTTAAGTTTATTTCTTCATTCTGAGAGTGAGAGAGAGAAAGCAAGAGCAGGGGAGGAGCAGAGAGAGGGAGAGAGAAAATGCCAAGCGGCTCCAGGCTGTCAGTGCAGAGCCCAACATGGGGCTCAAATATACAATGACTTCAGCAGATATCAAGAGTCAGATGCTCTACCGACTGAGCCGCCCAGGTGCCCCTAAATTTTTATTTCTTAAGATGAGTGCTAGGTACACAGAAATTCATTATGTTATTATCTGTATTATTTTGTATGCCCAAACTATTTGACAATTTTTTTTAATGTTTATTATTTTTGAGAGACAGGGAGAGATAGAGCACGAGCAGGGGAGGGGCAGAGAGAGAGAGAGAGAGAGAGAGAGAGAGACAAAGAATCCAAAGCAGGCTCCAGGCTCTGAGCTGTCACCACAGAGCCCGACATAGGGCTTAAGTCAGACACTTAAACAACTGAGCCAGGTGTCCAGACAATTTTTTTTTTTTAATTAAAAAAAGCTTGCCCTCCTCTGCAGCCTACAAGCTACTCTCTGCAGACTTCCATGATTTGGGACTGCACAGTACAAAAAGCAGGGGCTAGGGACTGCAATCTTTCTTGGTGTCTGGTGACAGGTATTAAAAAAGAAAAATAAAGGCCTCTCCTGGTGGCAGGTCAAGTATCAGTGGTTGGGATTTAACGAGACCTTTGCTGCCCCCACTCTCTTACTTCTCACATTACATTAAAAATCTCAGGCTTCAGGTAGTAAGCATTTCTGTCACGTGATCACAATGAATAGTCAAGTTTAAGGGCACTGAAATGGTGTGCCTTTCACCAGCTCCTACCAATGACGCACTCAGCACCTCTCCGATGTCACTTGAGACCTTTGAGGATCAAGCAAGTCCAGTCTATGAACCTAAAACTCCTTAACGCCTTGAATTACAGAGTTTGGGCAGGGAATGGGTGATAGGGAATTGGAGCACTGTTCTGACGGATGGCTATGTTCTTATTTATACTTTATAAAAGGAGACTGGAGCAGACACTTGCTGCCCAGGATTTTGAGGAACTTCCAGCTAAGGCGGGAACTGATGGTACCCATCTTGGCCACCACACTGGTAGAACCTGAATGGGAGTCAACACACTAGAAAGCAGAGCCAAAAGGTGATGGGGGTGGGGTGGGGTCACATGTCTGCTGGCATTACTTTAATACTTGCCTCCAGGTGCCCCTGACCATAACTGGATACAGTTCGATTCTTAAGCCAATACATTTCCTTTTACTTAAGCCACATGCAAACAAACTTACGGTGTAGCAATCACAAAAGAGTCTTAATGTGGGGCTTAAAAATGTTTCCAACCCCCTTTGACTAGCACCACCTCTCTCATATTCTCACCTTGAGTCAGCTTTTGAAATGCTCACTGAATCCATTTCTTCCTTGTTGCTCAGTGCTAGGGCCCTGATCCAAAGGCTCATCCTTCTTACAGTTTTATAGCTGGAAGAGATACCAATTAGCATCTAGCGCACGGGATTCCCTACCCAGCTGCACATCATAGTCATGCTAGGTGCCTGTTAATATGCAAATCTCCACACCACAGCGATTCCGAATCAGTGGGGCTTGGGAGAGATCCTGGAGCTTGCTTATTAACACAGTTGTACCACAACCACCCATAGTTCAGCTATAGCCAAGAACTAAAGATCTGAGCTGACCTGTCACCTCCCCTTTCTCTCCCAAACTCTCCCTCCAGGCCCTCAGGAAAACCCACTCTGTGCTCAGCTTTTCCTCAGGGAATTCTCTTCACATCTTGACTTAATGAAAACATGGCCGCTTTGTGAGGATGCCACCCCACCCCCCC